CGTAGGACTGTGGGACGTTACGTGTTGGAGCTTGACGCGAAGGCGCGTTGTAAGAGACAGTGCCACCTCACATCACACGCAGCTGGCATGTGGAACTTTCCCTGTCCCCGCTGCCGCAACTCTTTCAGGGTTGTGTTTTCTGAGCAGTTTTGTGTGATGGTCAGAATGCTTGTAAACGCCTCGACACCGCTTCGAGCCATCAAACGGAGGATTGAAGTTAAATGTTCTCTGAGAGGACACCTGCGCATCTCCTGCAGCTGACTAGCTCACTAGCTGATTAGCTTAAGGCTGTGGATTCACACTTTCATTGTGGAGCCTCATCATGGCTTCCCCCACTTGCTGGAGCAATAAAAGGTCCCTGGAATGCTTCCCTCTAGCAAATGATTGGGTGGACTAGGCCCCTAGCCAGCCTGCCGAAGGTGCTTCAGAGGCTTTCTTGAGAAGGGCAGCTCGAGCGGCTGCCGTCTCTTTCTTGTAAATTTTGTTCTCCTGCGGTTGCGAAGAACCTGCAGAACCTTTTTGTCTTCTCGTGAAGTACTGTGCCTCTGAAGTTCGCCCATGCCGACCATGTTGACAGCCCCGACTGCCCAGGTCGTACTTGCGCCTTGCAAAGGTCTGTTGTGGAGCCCAGTGAGCCCAGCAATTTAGCAAGAAACAATGGCCTGGCATCGGCGTCGCTCAACACACTGTATGCCTTGGAGAGCATCTTGAAGGCCTGCAAATCTGACGCAAGGGGCTGATGAGCACAAGAACGTCTGTCGAAGTCAAGCCCGGAGCCTCTTCCGCTTCTTTCTCCAGACACTTGTCTGGATGCAAACGCAAGGCCAAAGCACGGTATGCCTGAAACTCCACAAGAGCATTCAGCTGCTTTGAGACATTCACTGTGCAGGTTGGCTGCTAAGCTGGTGACCTTCTTGATTTCCATCTCGCTTGCTATTTCTAGCACGCCTGACACACGCGACGTTGGCACAGAATGAAGCCACAAACGCAGGGGCAGAAAGCACCCGGCACAGAGAAGAGCAGGAGAAGCAAGTCTAGCAGCTGCGACATCGCCGCAAAAAAAAAAAAAACATCCAGTGAATATCTGGACGACCAAAATCGCCAAGCAAGACTCTCCGCTTAATGCCATTCGCAACAAGAGAGTTACTGATTGTCGGGTGCGAAATGGTTGCATGCTGGGCATCCATCTCCTGCCTAATGCGCTGTAGTAGTTGTCCCCAGCGCTGAGGATTTGTTTCATTGCCTGCAGAAGACACTTGAAGCAAAAAACGCGGAATGTGCAGCGAACATTCAAGCCCCAAGCCTAAGCCCTAAACCCTCAACCTAAAACCCGAAATCCTAAACCCTAAACAACCCACGCTGCGCAGCGAACAGATTACACAACTGGCCTCAAGAGGCGCCTTTGAGTCGCACATGGCGAACACAAGTGGATGCTTCGTAAAGACAGAACTTAGAGCCTCACTTGTTCAGTGCTGGGAAGTCGCATGATCAATTATCTCGAGGCTCCTTGGCGTGTCTTTTCTGGCCCGGCTTGTCTTCGTTCCTGAAATCTTGAGAACCAAGGTTTATACAGAGACCCGACAAACCTTTTCTACTGTCAGACCAGAACATGACACTTATAAGAAGTTCTGAAGTCATGCTGGCTGCTGAACATCTGCGATGGAGGTGGGCAGGTGCTCTATGAAAGTACTGGCAAGGGCATGAACCCAAGTGCATGCTTGAGCAAAAAGGCTGTTGTTCGTTTGCTTGCAGTAATACACCGACCTGCCCGCCCGCATGTAAAATTCAACAATGTTTATATTCTTACTCCAGGGCGGTCCCCCGAGGTGCTGCCATCTGTCCGACCTCAAACCCTAAGCACTCACACCCACGTCATGTCACATTGCCCCGTTATCCTGAGCCCCAACGTGCGGGACACCTTTCCTCTAATCCCTTATGAATGTTCCAGGGAAGTGGGTTTAGAGCAGCCAGCAGAACGCCACCATCTCCAACGCTCACCCAACTCAGCTGCTTGCCATCTGCAGGCCATCTGCAGGGCTCGTTGGGCTTGTTGGGCTTATCGGTCTCGAAGGACTGCCTGGGTCCTCTTTGCCCGTAGTTGCAGTTATGGCTCTTGGTGACATCAACACTCTCTTCCATCCTCTGTAAGCTTGGGATGATCTGTCCTCTGTGCTGGCTTCGGCTTCTCAAACGATGGGTTGGGATGGGCGCCGCCTTCAGCCTGAACGGGAATGGACCCCAGCGCGGAAGACGAGCGACATTAGGAGTGAGAGATCAGGAAAGACAGGCGCGTAGATTCGAGATAGGTGAACATGCAAATTGCTTAATACTTTTAGCACAAATGACATACTGCTGGGGGTGAGGCAGGTGGGCCAAAGCTGATGATGAGGCAACAGGGCAGGCAAGGCCTTCTGTTGTCCAGCATCATGCGCAGACCTATTAATAAGTGCCCGTAACAGTCAGCGAAAGCCGTTGTGGGACCACCTCTGCAGATAGCTCTTCGCCAGCAGCCATGCCGCAACTGCAGAAGCTTGAAAACCTCCTGCCGGTTCATGACAGTTCATGTGCCAAAAAAGTGGGAGGCGCAGAAAACACTTTGGGATACGCTATTTCGAGCGTTTCATTGGAGTTACGCGCCTCGAGGAGTCGGCAGCGTTGAAGAGCTTTCAAACATTGTTTGGTGAGAAGGCACCTGGAGAGATTCGCGAGCCCCTCTGCCAGAAAAAACGTGCTTTGCACAATTACACTCAAATCAACATCGAGCTCCCCGCGGCTGCAATTCCATTGGAATTACGGAAAAGTTGCGACGCGCGCTGGACGATGATGGATTGCCTCTTGGTGACCTACGCGGCCTCGTCGAACCCAATGTAACGATCTGTGACGCGATCTCGTCGTGCGTGCTGCCTCAAACAGTCCCCATCTAGAGAGCCCCAAGGCAGCATATGTCTATGAACGCAATGCAAGTAAGCCCCCCGCAGCTGAGGGCATCTGCCAGGATGCCCGCCGCCTTAGAAACATGCGTGCTGTCCCAGCACTTCATGGGGCCATGAAGGGCCATGAAGGTCGAGGAGCCAGGTTGGAGAAGGTGTTCGTCCAATTGTGTGTTACCATAGTTCGAGGCAACACTCCCTCGCCCTCAGACCACAAAGAGGCCAAAGCGAAGCCCTCGTCCCCAACTTTTGATCTGGGGATTATGCGCGCCGCACAACATCGTTTGTCAAGGACCGTCCTGGCTCAAAAGCGCAGAAGATACGACATTCTTTCATTTTTTGACGCGTCAACTTGCTTCGGCCCCTCTGTTAGCAAGTTGACGACGAGTGTCGGGGATCGAAACGTGGCATGTACTCGTCCCCCTCTAGGAGCTGTTGCCAGAAGTCCAGGAGGGAGCCCAAGCGGAAGCCGCGTCGTGCCAGCTGTCGCACGACAGCCACGTAGACTGCCTGAGGCGACATCCCTTTGAGAAGCGGAGGTGCTCATGAAGATTGGCCTGATCATCAACGGCCAGATTGGCTGACATGGATGACAGCCCTCGTGATTGCGAACGTGATCTGGTCCTTGGCGCTTTTGGTTCAGCGTTGGATAGTGCAGAAGCAAGGCAGAAGCGGAGGAAAGATTTCACTTCTGAAAGTGCCAAAATGAGCATTGCTGAGCTCGCATCTCCGCGTCGACATCTGTAGGGGGCTCATCCTGCCAGAGGATGCCAGACAACAGCGCCAGTGACAGCGAGTTGATGCCCTCAGCTGTCTTTCAGGCAAACTCCACACACACACACACTTTGTGTCACGGAGCTTCGATACTAAAGGCAAGCTTCGACATCAAATCGGCGCATGGCACCTCATCCCGCTGGAAAGCGCCACGCAAAAGAAAAGCATCTTTTTGGAGGCGAGCGGCTCAGGCCGATTCCCCATGTTGATGAGAGGAATTCTTTGTAGGCATCATGGTTCACAAGCTGGACGTACTTGAGGATGGTGATGAGAAACCAGGTGAAAAAAGTTGTGGAGCCCAGGAGCATGCATAGCAATAGCTCCACACCTAGTGTGCAAGCGATCGCATGCATTTGCCAGCTAGCCGCGGTGCGAGCAAGCTGAGGTGCCAGCAGACAATTTTTGCAGCCCAAAAGGCTTGCCTTCTGGGAGGCCCTCTCACACGTCCAGCCTCGATCTGCAGCAGACGCAATGCCCGCCAAAAGCTCCTCTCAGTTGACCCCGACCCAAAATTGCAGATGGACATGTCTAGGCAAACGAGTCCTGCAAACATCGAAGGTATACCAAGCCCACATGCTGAGGAACATTGTCTGGACGATTATACGCATGATCAAACCTTCCTGCGAATCTTTTCCCATCGCGCGATTCACTGCAATCGAGAGGGCCAACGATAAAAAAGCGCCGCGCATCAGCACTATCCATAGTTGAGAACTGAGCTTACCTGATGTGTGTCTAGACTTCATGCCCACCATTCCTTGGCCACGGCACGCATGCATGAATGTGTCTTGGCTCAACGCTCACTCACAAAGCATGCGAGCAGCAAAGGACAACAAAATCCGTAAAACTGGCTTCGCTTCTCAAGAAAGGCTCGAGCTTGGAATATGCAGACGATCCAGCCGAGCACGACGGACTCCATGCTGAGTGTTAATGCAACGAAGAAGTCGCCCGCTTTCGTGTACTTGTGCCCTTTGCGTACGTAATAGAGCGGATACACCATCATACACAGCCAAAGGCCAAAGGTACACCATTTCGCATCATGTGCATAAGTGGAGGGTGGGTGCGGCTTCAACATGCAGATCACACATATCGCTGCGAGGAAGCCTGAGCGCGCGGAGCAGAAAGCAACTGTGGCCTCTTGTCTAGACATAAAGCTGCAGGAGGGTAGAGTTTGGGAACATGAACAATTGAACGCAGGCGAATGCATGAGAAAGTTCATGAACTCGCCGTGGATCAAAAGCCAGTTTTGGCACCCCCAGCCTCTGTTACATGCCTTTATCGTGGCCTGTTGTTACATACCTTTGTCGCAAGTGCCTGGTAAGGGCATGCGCAACAAAAAAGCTTGTTGCAGAGGTGCTGGTGGTATGCCTGGAAAGGGTGCACAAGACCATTCCGCGGAATGGCCACCCAAGCCGTCACAAACCCAGTGTTCTTGATTCACAGCCGAATGCGCCCCAGTCTTTGCTTTTGATGTAAGCAGGTGAAATCCACAGAGTCGAAGCTGGAACACCAAGGAGCGAGGAGCATCCCTATCCGGACCCTTCCAAAACGATGCTGCTGCATCCGACATAAATCTCCAGATGCTACTGTGCACCACGCGTTCTGATGGCAAGACACGCCAAATTTAACGCTCCGACGTCATACCATTGGACTCGAGCCGCAAAATGGCATAGGCCAAGTCGAAGCTACGAAGTGTCAAGAGGGCATCCGCCGCTCTTTCCTGGAGACCTGGCCACAAAGTTAGCTGCGTTTCCAGGATGGCGTGCAACTGCAGCTTAACATGTTGAGGAACGGCCGACTTCCGCGCAGCCTTTCCTCAGGGCTCGACATATGAACAGATGCGAAGACATGCGGTGACTGAGGCAGCAGCTGCCAGCCAGTCCAGGCCTCGAAGCTGAAGCGCAAACGTAGCTGAAAGGCGCGAAAGGTCCGTTTAGAAAGGCCAACATGGTCAAGGAATGTCAAGGGGCAGTGGAGAGCGAAGCCTGTCTGTGCCGTGTCCGTAGGAGAGCCGCAAGGCGCAAAGAAGCGGCACCTGGCACAGATCGGCCTGCCATGGCCTGCCCTAATCAAGTCAGCTAAGCCTTGCCTTGCTGCGACGTGGCAGCCGCATGCCACGCCCAGCTAAAGCCACAGCGCACATCCACTCCGTGCCAAGCCATGGCATGCAGCTGCTCTTGCAACACGGCTGCAGGTAAAGCTGCAATCGCCATGCACGGAAAGCTCTCCTCAGTTCCATCAAAAATGCAATGCGCTCTTCCTCTTCGGAGCTCAGAGAATGCTTCACGTAGACAATCCTTCCCGCAAAGAATTGTTGTTCCGACTCATAAGCGCCCTTTACATGAATCCCACTGTGCTGGAAGACTACTTTTACAAGGGCACGGCTACTGTTGAAACGTGCCAATTTGGGTTGAACTAGTCACTAGTCATGGTTTAGGCATTAGGGGGGATGAAAACTTAGCCAAGTTAATCGAAGGGGAACTATGCGTTTCGGAGACTGCCGTGGACCGGGGGCAATACCACCAACCAGGGGGGTGATTACAAGGGAGGGCGAAGGGCCTTCCTAGGGGGAAGGCCATTGATCATCAGAGGAAGGACGTGTGAGCCAAGAGTCACGTCCAGGACAGGTTGCTGCCTTTGCCGTTGCGTTGCCAAGCGCCAATGGCTAACCACCCGCTGCAGTAATGTACTGGACCTGGCGCTGCAGTTACGGGCAGCAACTCTTCCCTTTGCCTTACTCTGTTTGGCCAAGCCGCGAGAAGAAGCAGAGCAATGTGGCACATCGCAGCGCGTTCTCCTCTTTGTCATGCGCGCGATGAACAAGTCAGATGAGAACGGTGTTCACTCGAGAGTGCCTCACGCAAAGAAACATCCGCGGAAGCCTGGGGCGACTTGGCCGTCTTGGCCCTACAGAGACACCGCCAAGTGCGGAAGATATCCTCAGCTTGGTGCCGTGCTGGTCTGAAGCATCATGAAAATCCTTGTTCATTCGCTAGTGTTGGACTTCCACAGTTGAAGCAAGCAAAGAAACTACTGCACAGCAGGCCCTTTCTTTTTGTCTTGGCGAGAGTCTGGGATCTGTTGACCAAGGCTTCAAGTAGAAGCCCAAGGTCCAAGCAAAGCAAAAGCGAAGTAACAACAAACAGATCACAGTATGCCCAGATTGGAATTGCCAAGACGAAAAGGAGGCCGCCCAGGGTTTCCCCAGTGCGAAAAGTGGCCTACTGAAGGCTTGTGCAAAGCGAAGACCTTCGGTCGTCCGCGCACGAATGCCAAAACAGTGCAAGCTTAACTGCGCCGCACCTCAGAAGCAGGCTATGCTCCAGGCACCACCTGTGCCCGAGGGGAGGCGGAGCAGCCGAACACGGTGCAGTGCAAGTAAGCAGACTAGGCTGGCGTTGCCGAGCGCCAGGGGCCTGGCTGACTGGGCAGGCTCCAAAGCAAGAAGGCGTCGGCAGGCACAAGTTGAGGCTGCGTGCGAACGTGCCAGAAGGCGCGCGATCTGCTTCCTGAAAACTACAGGGGATGGGGCATGACTCATCCCGCCTGCTGAGTGCGTCGGCCTCTTTATTTCTTTCACCAGAGACGTGGGAGCAGTTCAAAGAGACGGCGTGGGCACATGCCCATATGGCCAAGCGCTGCACGAACAAAGCAAGTGGCTGTTTGCTGGTGTACAAGCGGTTGATGACACTTTCTGCGCCCACATTGTCACTGAGTGAGGGTAGGCGCGCTCGGAGGCGTCCGCCACTGATCGTCCTAGGTCCTAAGCAAGAGGACCAGCAGGAAGCCTTGGGCCAAAGTCTCGTAAGAAGAAATATCGAGATTGGCATCTGCCTTCACTGGAATCCCAATTCAAGAAGTCTTTGGGACAGAAGCGCTCTGAAAACCAGAAGCAGCGCGTGGAGTCCAGACGCAGCCATCCACCAACTCCACAGGAGTCGCCCTCACAAAAGGCGTCTGCTGCACTCTCAAAGGGCAATGTTGGAGGCAGAGCAAGTGGGCGCCACGGCCAGGGGTTACGGCGCCACCAAAGCAAGAACTGCAGCATCTCCACACTGGGAGACGAAAGCTTGCGTCTGGAAGAAGTGGGATCGGCTATACGCATCCAGATGCGACGAGATGAAATAGGCACAAACCGAAGGTCCGCTTTGCAAGACAGTGTTTTATGCCTTGCGGAAAGAAGAGTAGATCCCACTGGAATGTCTGTGCCCCTGGGAGTCGACAAGAAGCGCAGTGAATCTGACAGGTGTGCTTGCAGTGAAGGCCAGTCTGCGGGATCAACGCTGTATGAGGTCCCAAGAGGCCGATGCATGTCATCATAGAGACAACAAAGCCA